AAACAAAAGTGTGTATAGTCAAGGCTATGGTTTTCCCAGTTGCAATGTATGGCTGTGAAAGCTGGACCATAAGGAAGACTGAGCGCAAAAGGATTGAGGCCTTTGAACTGTGGTGCTGGAGGAGACTCCTGCGAGTCCCTTGGACCACAAGGCGATCAAACCGGTCAGTCCTAGAGGAGATCACCCTGACTGATCTTTAGAAGGCCGGATAGTGAAGACGAAACTCAAATACTTTGGCCACCCAATGAGTAGGAAGGACTCCCTGGAGAAGAGCCTAATGCTGGGAACAACTGAAGGCAAAAGAAGAAGGGGCGGCAGAGAATGAGGTGGTTAAATAGTGTCAATGATGCAATGAACATGAATTTGGGTGAATTCTGGGAAACAGTGGAGGACAGGAGGGCCTGGCGCGTTATGGTCCATGGGCTTACAAAGAGATGGCCATGACTGTGAGACGGAACCACAACAAATGCCGGAAGAAAAAAATTCACATCTCCACGCATCTTCCAAACGTAGCATTTCCAATGTACACAGAAAAACAAGGTATATCATCCCGCCTCACCGCCTTGCCATGATCAGATCGCAGAGGCTGCCTGAGTGTCTGGTGGTGAAGACCAAATGACCCCGCTCCCTTAGTGGGCAACCGGCAATTGCTGTCTTTGCATTTTATGGGTTTGCCAAGGTGCCTCCTTGACCCCATAAAGTTCACAAATGTAACCTTTTCTGGCAGGCCTGTTCAAGGTAACTTTAGTTTAGGAGACTTGTCAAAGGCATCTAATTAGAGTGAAATGTAGCTTTATGCTGCTGTGATGCGCATCCAGTCACCTTCCCGTGTGTTGTATTCACTCCCCTTTTGTGTATTCTATATAACCCTAAGGAAATTGACACGAGGTGTTCCTATTCTGGGCACTCATGGATCCATGCATTCAATTGTAAATAAACCCGTTTGCCCTGACAAGAAACTGATTCCGAGCCTATATTGCGGATTGGTGTGACACCAAATAATTAAAAATAATTGGCAGAAGTTTACTCCTATTTAGTTTTTAGACTTATTATTAGGGTCTATAACTCCATATCACCAAGAATCAAAATTTCTCTTTTTAAAAATCCAGTACCAATTACATTTTTTAAAATAATTTTTTTTGCATCATTTAGAGCATATATTGTTGCCAATGTACTTATCTTTCCAGCTGGGAGGCTTTTCTTCAGAACAGTAAGACTTCTTTCTGGATCTTTTAATTCTTCTACAACTTTTAAGCTTTGATTATTAATATAAATTGAGATACCTTTCTTTTTCGTGTCAGCTAATACTCCGTATACTTTGCTCAATCTCATATGACTCAGAATATGAGTATATTTTTTTCCTTATATGAGTTTCTTTGTTACATATTATGGCTGCCCTTTCTTTTCTTAAAAAATTGAATAAGTTTTTGTGCTTGCAGGGGGAACTCATTCCATTAATATTTATCAATAAGATCTCTGTTCTGTCTTCTGAGGGACTGGCAACTTGTTCAGCAACACTTTGAAGTAGGTACATTATCTCACTTAGACCTTTGTAAAACATCCCTGAGACAATTCACACCTCTTGGGATGGCAATAAATGACTGGAGAACTATGAAAAAAGAGTCTCTGATTACAAGAAGATGGCCAGATAAGGCAAACTGAAGCTTGTTACAGAGTCAGCCCCCCACAACATTTTTTCTATGGTTTCTTTCTCTTTCTTTTCTGCTAACTTTTATTCCATTTTTCAAGCCAAGGAAATATTACTATAAACTTACTGCAATGAAGACCTTATAGGCATTTCTTTTTGCTTATCTGGAAAGGAACTTTCAAACGGAAAGTTTCCTGCCAACTAATGGGGTTCTATCAGAACTTTAATAATTAGACTTTATAGCTATGTGTTATCTGTTTAAGAGGTGAAGACTGAGGGATACGAGTGGTATTCTTATGTGAGAAGAAAGATGGCAATTTCCTTTGTTCCATTACCATTTTTCTTTCTCTGGCAAGAAAATGCTGAAAGAGTGAAGCTAGAGAAGCGTATTAATTTGGAGCTGACTTATTTTGAAAGTGGAGTTGCATCTCCTGAACAGGTTTACGTTTGAGGCAGAGATAACAGAGAATCACAAACTTTTCTTTTTCAAACTCGTCGCTTCCCTTTTGGTAACAGAAGAAGGGAGGATTAAAGGACCTGGAGGACTGCCAGGCAGCCCGTTTGATGCAAAATTATTCTTGACCTATTGGCGCCACCTGGTGGACTTGGGAAACAATGGACTTGGAATAAATTTTGAGACTGGGGAAGAAAAGGAAAAGACTGGGAAGAACAGGACAGAAGAAGCAAAAGCTTCCTGTTCATTGATAGACTGATAGAAAATTGATCAAAGATGTTGAAAAAAATTGAGAATTTCTCTTTTTAACAAATTAGTTCACAGTAAAATTTAATAACAACTAACATCAAAATAGAATGTGGCTAATAAATGCAATACCATTGCTAAAAGAATGAATGATTCTTTCTCCCTTCGCTCATTGTTCTTTTGCCAACTCTTTTTGTTTTAAAGCATCATGAAAAACTTTATAGGTATGAAAAAAGTGTTTGGAGCATACAAACAGAGGAAGAAAAACAGAATGGCAAGTGCTACTAAAGGAACCAGGGAAAAGAGGGGAAATTTGAGAAGAAACATAGAAACAGAGCAAGTCAGAAGGGGCCTCCTGGGCCATCTAGTCTGACCTCCAGGACCAGCCGGCTCCACTCATGACATGCCCACCATGTGCACGTCCAGCCTATCCTTGAACACCCTCACTGATGGGGCCTCAACGACCTCCCATGGAAGCCCATTCCACACCCTCGGGGTCCTGACTGTCAGGAAATACTTCCTGACATCTAAATGGAACCTGGGTTCCCTGAGCTTCACTCTGTTGGAGCGCGTCCTGCCTTCCTCTGCAGGGGAGAACAGGTCTCTACCCATCTCCATGTGACATCCCCTCACACACTGTATGTCGCCAACATATCCCCTCTGAGCCGCCTCTTCTCCAGGCTGAAGAGGCCCAGTTCCCTCAGTCTCGCCTCATATGGCATCCCCTGCAAACTGGCCACCAACCTCGTGGCCCTACGCTGCACTGACTCCAACCTGGCTATATCCTTCCTTTAACGAGGGGCCTAAAACTGAGCACGATACTCCAGTTGCGGGCACACCAGAGTTGTGTAGAGTGGTAGTAATACCTCTCCTAATCTAGAAGCCACACTTCTGGCTATGCAACCAAGGGTGGCGTTCGCCCTCTTGACCACCGCATCACACGGCTGACTCATGTTTAGCCTGCAGTCAACCAGCACCCCGAGGTCCCTTTCACAAGTGCTGCTCTCCAGCCACTTGTCCCCTAGCCTGTACTTATGACAGCTATTCCTATGCCCCAAGTGCAAGACCTTGCACTTATCCACATTGAACACCATCCTGTTGTCTCCTGTCCACTTCCATAGTCTGTCCAGATCCTTTTGGATCTGGAGTACCTGCTCCTCAGTTGTGGCCACTGCTCCAGTTTTAGTGTCGTCTGCGAATTTGATCAGCAGACCATTCACCCCTTCTTCCATGTCGTTAATGAACAGACTAAACAGGATCGGCCCCAGGACAGAGCCCTGGGGGACCCCGCTTGTCA